GTTTTATACAACGTAGCTCGTAATCAAACTAAATTTTCTCTGAATAATTAAATGCACACAAACTAAGTTAACAACTTTGCAATTCGTTTGTGTCCGTTGAATTTGTTGGAAATTAATTATGGAAAAATTATAAAATATGACGAGGCGTTACGACCACCTGCTAATATTATTTTCAATGACTCCCGTGCTATGGTTGTTGTCACATCGTTTAGCATAAATTAAGTCCATGCTTCAATTTCATTAACATTTTATAATTTGTTTTGATTTTATAAAACTTACTCTAAAATTACGCACTCAAATACGAGATACTCATGATTTCCTAGTCCTCAGACTGGAATATACGAGTCATTTAAGTATCTTTTATTTAGTATGAATGTCTCCCAATAGAACAATAATCATATTACTAAAAATCGCTCGTGTGCAAGGAACACATACCTGTACGCTCTAAGTTTGTCTTAATTAAGTTACTGAATGTGCGAACGGCCTAACGGGCTTACAAAACTAGGGTTTGAGTTCCCTAATTCATTATAAAGCGACCCTAGCCAAAAGGTCGCGTGGTTAACCTTAGAAAGAGACATATATACGGGTAGATCTAAGTATAAAAGAGACAAGTAGTTGGCACATCATTTACACATCAGATGACTGGCTTTCGCGCGAGCCCCGCTGACTTTGAGCTTACTGAAATTGCCCACTCGAGTAATTGGCAAACTATACAGAGTGGTTTATATTTTTTTTTAATTAAAGTACGAATAAATATGCTTGCTAGTTAATCAGCAGTTTTGTCGACTCTGTAATATGTATATTTTACAGATTGGTTGTGTCCCGACATAGAATAGGGCACCCCTTCCTATCCCGTGGGTGTCGTAAAAACCGACTAAGGGAGGGCGAGGGATGGACAGCAGCGTCCTTCTTAAAACATCTCTAAAGCCAGACTGCGATTGCTAATCCGCCTGCCAAGCGTGGTAACTACTAGCAAGACTCCCCCAAGGGGTAGGCTTATGTTCAGCAGTGGACAGTTGAAAGCTGATATGATGATGATGATGATGATTTCACGGAGTATACTAAAATCCTACAATGCAAAGTACAATCTTAATTTGGTTTGTTAACAACTATTTTTTACTGTAAATACAAGCTGTTTCCCATGTTCTGGCCCGTTTTAGTTATAGTATTTCATTGTGCTATATAAAATTTAAAATACCCTATCATTTTACAAAAACGCCGTTTATAAAATGTCAAGAAAAATAGCGACACTAAATCCATTTATTACGAACGAGTGCACCAAACGTCCAAGTCGTAAAATGTTTGGCTATTCCAAACATTTTACAAGTAAGGTTTATGACTTAAAATGTCGAAGTATTAGAAGATTCAAAAAAAGAATAAGATAATTTGATGTTGTATTCGTATTATGCAATCGTAAATTATCCTGACATAGAATAAACCACTCCTCCCTTTCCCATGGATGTCGTAAGAGGCGACTAAGGGAACTAAATGGACGAGAGATGAGCAGCAGAGTCCCTCTTAAAATATCACCAAAGTCTAACTGCGGTCGCGAACCCGCCAAAAGCAAAACCAAGCGTAGCAAGTACTGGCAAAGCCTCCTATAAGAAAGACCTATGTTCAGCTTTGGACAGTACGGCTGATGTCATCAAATTATCCACCAAATTCTATATTTAGAATATTATCATTAGAATCATTAAGCTTTACAAAAAACGTTTTCACTCGTGGACACTTAAACACCGATAAACTAAGAAATGTTTCGTACTCTTAAATACCTTACATATATTTAATATAAATACTTAAATACACTCATGTATGTCACGACCTCCCTAAGTGGAATGATTCATTCATTCATTCCTCTAATTCATTGCAGGCAGTCAGTGGATGTAGGTGGCTCATGACCATTCTTTATGGCAGTCTATGGGAGAGACCTATGTCCAACAGTGGACGGATAATGGCTGAGATGATGAAATACTCTCATTACAACAGCACAGATGCATAGATACAAATACGAGTAATTTACAAAAAAGACATGACAAAAATAATAAAAGTAAATAAAAAATCTAGTGTTTGTCATTTATTTATTTATTTATACTTTTGCATACATTGAAAAATGTCTACAGAGCGGAATTAATTCCTGATAGCATTCTCTACCAGTCAACGACCACGCCAAACAGAGAGAGCAAATGCGGGTGCACAGATTTAAAAAAAATAGTAAATTAAATAAATATTTTAAGAGATAACAATTTATAATAAATAAATATAAATAATAACTTATTATATTTGCACGGAAGTGTTCGTGTTTCAACCGTGAAGCAGTTGTGTTTGCATGGCTGTGTTTCGGTTTGAAGGGTGGGATATGGCATGAATTTACTGGGTACAGAGGAATAACACCTGAGTCCACAGGAATGGCAACACATGGGGGGTATCATGGGCGAAACAATATACTCTGTTATGTCCATGGTACTGCTCATGTCTATAGGCGACGGTTTCACTTTCCATCAGGTGGGCCGTCAGCTTGTTTGCCATTCTAAGTTGTATAAAAGAAAATGTCATAGTGGTGTTAATAAATATGTTTTTAATGGATAACAATGAAATGTTAAACCCCGCCCATGCTAACAGTATACACCGGCGGGGCACCAGTGAAATATGATAAGTAAGAATGAAAAGACAGTTCAGTTAGCCCATCATGATGAATACACCTAGAATTCAACACGATGGTTTCCAGAGGGGACCGCGTGGAGGTCCGCCTGGTTGGGTATATTGCTAGCAATTGGGCCCTTAGTCTTTATTACTAACAATCCCTCCCCCACTCCCCGCTAATTAATTATTTTCTCTAGGTAACATTTTCTGTGCGGTTTTTCTTTTATTGTAATATATGTGTATCATGGACTATACCTCCCCAAGGGGGAAGTGTATGTTCAGCAGTGAACCCTTAAGGGCTGATGTAATGATGTTGATTCGATCATTCATTTATTCATTCGTGTACGGTAATTCACTGGGTGTGTCAACAGCTCATAGTAGTTCTTTGGAAGGCGGCGATCTCAAATCTTTCCCGCCGACGGACACTCGTGCACTATTCAAAGCATCTTTTGTACACTCACACGACATATTCTCTTTAAAATTATAAGAAAAGACTTGGGCGATAATCAGCGAGAAATGTTTATACATCGCTGTGTAATGTAAACTCGTGTGACTCGTGTGATCACTTTAATATTATGTATTTTAATATTCGCTATTTTAATATTAATCTTTATGTGATATCCACTTCAACTACATTGTAGAGAGTCAATGGATGCAGGTAGCTCGGGATCATTTCCTATGACAGACTTCAAAAAATAAATATGAAGGTTTCTTCAGGGTCGGCAAAGTGCACGTAACACCCCTAGTATTACAGGCATCCATAGGCTACAGTGACCATTTACCATCAGACAAGCCGTATGCTTGTTTGCTATCTTTGTGGTATAAAAAAGTCTGTGGGTGAGGCTTATGTTCAATAGTGAACAATTAACAGCTGATATGATGATATATAATATTATAAATCTGAAAGTCAGTTTGTTTATTTATTCCCTCTTGGCATCTTAGAACTTAGCAACGCATGGGAGGTATCATGGGCGAAACAGTATACTCTGTTATATTCATGGTACTTATCATCCCTATAGGCGACGGTTACCACTTTCCATCAGGTGGGCCGTCAGCTTGTTTGCCATTCTAAGTTGCATAAAAAAAAATTAAAAAAAAACTTAACCAATCACTATGAAATACATTATACAGGTACTATATGGGAAGGAGAAGAACATAACCTTATCCCAATCACACGGAGAAAGTCGAGGGTAAAAGCTAGTATTAATTTACTATTTATTTATTTATTAATTCTATAAATCACTATGTATATCCCGAGACTGCACGCGTATACTAAAATATAATATAACAAATAAAACTATATTAAACTATTTAACTCGTGATTGACCTGTTTAATTAAAACCCGTACTCAGTTTATCATTTCTGTATAACACTGTTAAAATGAAACGACCATATTTTAAGAGATATTACTTGTTTTTACAGCCCACTTAAAGTTAAAAGGGTTTTGCTTAAACTCCCAAACTTGAGGAAATAAAAGCTTTATCAATATTTAGATCGTTACCATTTTGGTAAACTTTTAATACAACGCTCCGATTAATGTTTTAGTACGAGTATAGCGTCGAGCTTTTAAACTAGAACTAACGATTCGCCCCGGCTTCGCTCGAGTCAAATATTGACAAGTCAAATATTGGTTAATTTTAAACATTTACATTGTTTACAATTTTTTAAGTCGGCAGTAAAGAAGCAGGTATGTAGCTACTTTAGTATTTACCTGCAAAAAAATTTCCTCCCGATAATGTATTTCAAATAAATCAGATATTGATTATTTCCCTATATATTTTTGACAAAAATAAGCAAATACAATTATTTGCACAATTTCTGAGTCACATTTTTTTTTTTACAATTCTAATATCCTTTCTTATATGGTAAATGTATTTGTATTTTAACACCGTAAGGTGTTAAGTCCGCCAAATATACATAGAATTTTACTGTGCATTAAAGTTTAAATAAATAAATAAATGAAAATACAGTTTATTACTACTTAGTGCTTTATGAGCGATCAAGAACAATATCAATATTGTGATGTCTATAAAAAATGTTCTCGAATGGCGACCTCAAACAGGCAAATGTAGTACATATAAGACAACCCTCACAATACTAACGACCTCAATAATGTAGGTGACGGAAGTTAATAGGAAAATTTATAGCAGTATCGGGGAGGCTTATGCTCAGCAAAACAGCAGTATATAATACGTATAAGACTAAAATATAAATACTATCAACTATAAAATAATATATGTAAAGAGGACATATTGACAATTTCATTTACTGGCTGATTTCACGTAACACGTTATTGTTTTAATATGCAATTTTGAATATAGAACAAATGAAATTGCTCAATCCAAATGGTCTCATTTGTTTTAAGTCAGCGTGTCAAGTTGGTCGTGTAATTCTCATAAATCTTAAATAGTTTATTATTTAATATTAATATAATACGGAAATGAGGGAAATAGTGCATATCCAAGCTGGGCAGTGTGGAAACCAGATTGGAGCGAAGGTTTGTTACATTCTATTCTTAAACTTTTACCCACATAAAATCCTGGTAGATAACGATATATCATCTTTGCAACTCATCTACCAACGTGTCAAGACGGGGAAGAAGGGATTGTTAGTAATGGGGATCTAACGGCTCCATTTCTAACAATATACCCAATTAGGTCGACCTCCATGCGGTTCCCCCTAAAAACTATCTCGGTTAATTCTTGTGCAATTCGTCACGATGGACTGACTTGCCTTCATCCTTCCTTATCACCGTTATCTTTTAGAAATAGTGGCAGAGAGGTAATAGTATCACTTCACACTGTACTTGCTCACACGGGGTCGACACTTAAGAATCTTTCTTTTTCATCGATTATCCATTATATCTACGCGCTTTCACATGGTATAGGTCTATAGTGAGAACACACCAATTAATAAATTAATAGGTAATTGCTTATTTTCAAAATTAAGTTAAAATCCCTTCAGCAATGTTCTCTTGATTACATAACAGACAGATATCTATTTTAACTAATATAATAATCTGTATTCCACTTATCTGGAAAGCTATTTTTCTGTTGCTAAAACTTCTTTATATAAAGGCATCAAAAACCCATAGATATTCAATTTTCACCAATAAAAATCCGATCGAAGTGAAACATGAATTCATTTTTAATAATAAACCTATGGCATGTTTGTTTTACCTGTTCCGTCAATACCGTCTGTAAACTACGTGCATGAATTTAACATGGCAGTAGATACATGCCGCCATTAAATTCGATATTTACCAAATAATAACGTGGAAAATGTTAAAAATGTTCGTCTTTACGTTATTTTTGTGGTAAACTTAATTTGTCATGTTGAATGAATACACGGGGTTTTTAATGGATAAAAACGACCTAAATACGCGGGCTCATAAATACTTACAAAAGTTACTTTTTTGTCTAAGTCACTACTCCTTAATTAAGGCAATGAACTCTACCATATTATTTTCGATTGATTGATTCTTCGATTTTTTTTTTCTTTCTATTATGTACAGATACACGAGTACATGCACAGAACATTGCTGTTTTATGGATACAACAGTCTCCTTATATTTAAAACTTACTAAATATCTCAATATAATTCTGGTTTAGTCAAAAATACATTCTATATTTCAGTTCTGGGAAGTAATATCGGACGAGCACGGTATTGACCCCACTGGTACCTACCACGGTGACTCTGACCTTCAGCTGGAGCGAATCAACGTGTATTACAATGAAGCAACCGGCGGAAAGTACGTCCCACGAGCCGTTCTGGTCGACCTGGAACCAGGCACCATGGACTCAGTGCGATCAGGACCATTTGGACAAATCTTTCGTCCAGACAACTTTGTGTTTGGACAGTCCGGTGCAGGTAATAATTGGGCGAAGGGACACTATACTGAAGGAGCTGAGTTGGTAGATTCTGTTCTGGATGTAGTCAGGAAGGAGGCAGAGGGATGCGACTGTTTGCAGGGATTTCAGTTAACGCACTCCCTTGGTGGCGGTACTGGTGCAGGATTGGGGACTTTGTTGATCTCCAAGATTCGAGAAGAATACCCAGATCGTATCATGAACACGTTTAGCGTAGTGCCTTCACCTAAAGTATCTGATACTGTAGTCGAGCCATACAATGCTACACTATCCGTGCACCAGCTGGTGGAAAATACTGATGAATCCTATTGCATTGATAATGAAGCGCTGTACGATATTTGTTTCCGAACATTGAAGTTGACTACACCTACGTATGGGGATCTAAACCATCTTGTATCTGCGACCATGTCGGGAGTTACCACCTGTCTCCGATTCCCTGGGCAACTAAATGCCGACTTGAGGAAGTTAGCCGTGAATATGGTGCCATTTCCTCGTCTGCATTTCTTTATACCTGGCTTCGCTCCGTTGACATCTCGTGGAAGTCAGCAATACCGTGCTTTGACTGTTCCTGAATTGACTCAGCAAATGTTTGATGCCAAAAACATGATGGCCGCCTGTGATCCGCGCCATGGGAGGTACTTGACCGTTGCAGCCGTCTTTAGGGGCAGAATGTCGATGAAGGAAGTGGATGAACAAATGATGAACATACAGAATAAGAATTCTTCATACTTCGTAGAGTGGATTCCCAATAACGTGAAGACAGCTGTCTGTGATATACCTCCTCGAGGTTTGAAGATGTCTGCAACCTTTATTGGCAACTCAACTGCCATTCAAGAGCTATTTAAACGTATTTCTGAGCAATTTACAGCTATGTTTAGGCGTAAGGCATTCTTACACTGGTATACTGGCGAGGGGATGGACGAAATGGAGTTTACCGAAGCAGAGAGTAATATGAATGACTTGGTGTCGGAGTATCAGCAATATCAAGACGCCACGGCTGAGGAAGAAGGTGAATTTGATGAGGAGGAAGAAGGCGGCGACGAAGGAGACTAGAGATGTATTGTTTTTAAGGTTTTCATTATTATATTCTGTATTTTATAATTTTGTCGTTTTATTATATTTTAATGTGCTCATATATATGTTTTTTCTTCAGAGATAATTCTATTTTCGCTACATATATTCCCAAAGTGATATGTTCCATGACTCATAAGAAATAATAAAATGGTGAGTTTGTAAAGAGGGTTTGAGTTCTACTTGATACATACTAAAACGACTGAACGGATTTGTATGATATTTAATTTACATGAAAGTTCCTGAATTTCAAATTTTTTGATAATGTAGAATGAATGATAATTTTACTTACTTGAACACAGGTATACATTAGAATTATGTAATGATAAAATATAGTATATATTCAACCCCTATATTCAATTTGGCACTTATCCTTAAAATTTCTCTGCATGTAAATAAAAACATTTCTCGAGAATGTTAATTGTAAAGTTTCTCACAAAATTTTTTGTGTCAAATCTATGTATTCTTTGTTAATATTGTATTGAAGTTAATTTTGATGAATTGAAATGAGATATGGGGATACCCATTTACTGGTGCCAAAAAACCATACACTCTGAATCGGATCGCTAAAGATATAAATGCCATCGTCAGTTTCTAGACAACTATGTAGTAGAACAATAAAATGTATGAAAATGATATCTGATGATTACTTGAAGGGCTATACTACATACTCAGTTTTTCTACTCTATGTAAATAGACCAACTAGTTGTAATAGTTATAAATATAAAACAATACAAAACTGATATTTAACAAAATGCCACCGTTGGTCAGATGCTGTGTCCACTCACCACGTCCACCGCAATGCGATAAAAAATGCTTGAAACAGTCTGTCGCTTGATTTTGAAACTCTGTTACTAACAATTCTCTTTTAAAAATTGAACATTTCACTATTTGGCTATTTGTGCAACAGTTTCAGTCATAATGTGACATATGTACGTATCCATTATAGTTAAAAATGCATCATCATCATCATATCAGCTTTTAACTGTTCACTGCTAAACATAGGCCTCCCCATGACAAGGGTTTTGTCAGTAGTTGCCACGCTCGGCAGACGAAATCGGCACCCGTAGTTAGGCTTTGGTGATGTTTTAAGAGGGACGCTGCTGCCCATCTCTCGACCATTAGGTTCCCTTAGTCTTTAGAAACTTCACTGATTTATGTTATGGTTGTGTATACTATTTTATATGTCTATTGGTATTGTATGTTTCCCTTTTAAAGTAAAATAAAAAAAAATAGTCGCCTCTCACGATACCGATGAGAATGGAAAAGATGGCCCATTCTACCACATGGCAAAAAAATACATTGTAAAAAACTATCAATTTAATAATACATTCAAACTAACAATTTGTTTTAAATTAAAATTGATAGCAACTAAAACACATAATCAAGCCACTGGCTAAATTAAATAAGTATGCTTAGAAGTATAAAAGGAACCGAGGTGAAAGCAGATTTGACTACAATTAAAAATTCCAAGATCAAATCCTAACTTATATAAAAAATTTCAAATTCACATTTGAATCTTTATCGTCACTTGCTTGTACTTTGATGCCATCGTTTACAGCAAAGTCTGCCTTAAAACTTGGCAGAAATGGGGCATATGAATATAACATGAGAATCTCAAGAAATATTAATTATAAATATTTAACAAACAGGCATAAAACTTCAGACTCCCACTACTCATCAGCAGAAATCGTTCTAAACAGCCCAATTTGGTTTTTCCCTTACATTTACTAATTTAATTCTCTAATGTGGTTTATGAGTTTTTCCAAAATTAAAGAAACCAAAGCCAAAATTAGCAAATCTTTCAATTAAAAATAAACAAAATCAGATTCTTTCAATTTTCATATAAAATCCATTTTGAAGCCGGTTGAAAATGGGGTACAAATGATTGGATTGGTACATCATCTATTCAATGTGCATCGCTCGATCGATGCCAATCTCTGCTCCAAATAGTTTAGATACGCGAATGTATTTCGAGATGGACTTTGATTATGCAATATTCACGAGCAGGACACTCTTGTAATATTTAATTTGTTCTCCATCTACTTCAAACATCTTCAATTCTAAACTATTTTTGACGATTCATTTTTATTTGATTTAATTAAAAATTATCATAGACTAATGTACATATATTTATATAACATTACTACTATATATAAATAACCGGCATAGCCCGATGGATAAGCAAGCTGAATTGGCAATGGGCTGGTCACATACGGATAAACTCGAAGAATCAGAGAGTCAGTGGACTACCGATGGAGAAATGAAATGATGATGTTGACTAGAGACATTACTATATACTCAATTTATAATAATCCACTAAATCCTTTAAGTTACTTGCTGTATTATTACGAAAATCATAGATATCCAGTCAAAAATATAATATACACATATTCGTATATTCCTTAAACATACGTAAACCGGGGGAAAGGGATTGTTAGTACCCAATGGAGTGCCCCAATATACCCTCTCAGTGGTGATCGGGTACGGATAAACCATCATGGTGGGCCAACTGACCTGCATTCTTCTCACCTATCATCTTCCACTGGTGCCTTATCGGTGTATACTGATAGCGCAGGCGGGTTAACATTCCATTTTCACCCATTAAAAAAGAAAAAAAAACATAGAAACCTGGACATACATTATTATAAGATACAGTGGAAAGAAAAAACAAGCCTGAAATGCATTGCAGATTATCAGTCAGTGGATGCAGGTGGCTCATAAGTCGTCCGTTTTTTGATCCGTTCATGTTTCTGCGTTGAAGCAGTTGTGTTTGCATGGCTGTATGGGGGAAGGAATTACAATGATAGGCGATGAAATGACATTTTCCATTGGATAGACCGTCAGCTTATTCGCCGTTCTAAGTTGCATAAAAAAATTGAGTAAAAAGATTTTCAAAGCAGTTTAAAACCGCAAGCCAGTTTAGATACAATGAAAGTAATGCAACTAGAATATTCCAAACTGTTGAATGCTGTACGCAGAGGCACGATCAATACGAATCTCGGCTAGCCGCCGCTATTTTGAGGCGCGAATGTATTTCGAACCACTTCAATTATACTTATTCCACTAGTTTTCAGATAAGGGCGACGGGTAAATGAGAAATCCAACGATATTCGCGGCGCCGAAACGAAATTCCGGTATTGTTAGCTGCCATTTTTAATGCAGCGACGAAATATTTTTAAACGATTTTTTTTAGGGTTCCAACTTTTAAAATTTTGATTTATCTACCTTTATACTAATAACGTAGATATAAAAATGAGTGAGTTTGTTTGTTACCTTATAATGTCTTTACTGCTTAACAAATCATTATGTAATTTGGTATACACATACTAAATATATGGGATGGAGAAGGTTGTAGGCTACTTTTGATCTCGATCAAGAAACATGTGAATGAGTTACGCGAACGAAGTCGCATGTAAAAGCTAGTATCTTTTATATACAGTTACGTTGCCAATTCTTGACCGATTTTTAAGGTTATTCTTACAATCGCTATAGTTTACTGCCATATTTAATTCCACTACCATGTATGCGTGTGTTAGATATTTATTTCAAATTATATTAATTTTCTTAAACATCTTGTGTTAAAATGTGTACCTACATTTATTAATAAAAATCAGACTAACTACTTTAAATATATTAAAACGTTAAAATTGTTATTATACCAAATTTGGTAATAAATTATTCTTGTAATATATATAGAATACTAATTTATATTTTAATTAATTTTATAATTATTTATTATCATGATACTTAAATAAAAAGTAATGAAATTGTAAGGACACGTGGTCTCACTGACTTGTTCACTCGAAGTCGGCCCTTTAGATATAAAATATTGTTATTTGGGTGGGGAGACACTTCTTGTCCAACCGTTGCACAGAGCGGAGCTCCCTACTGTTTCAAGACTGAACAAGTATAGTAAACCACGTGGTCATTATATAAAATATATCACAATTATTGTTGATGGAAGTCCTAAAGAAGCTATAATTAAATAAGTGTTAATGGATTAACAGAAATTGGGTATTTATGTTATATTATTTGTTATATATCAAATACAAAGTAAAATAAGTAAATATATGATTTAATAGTATGATATCTAAATTAAATGAACTGTGAGAACTTGTGCTTTATTTCTATTTATTACCAAGAGGCTTACAACCTTTATATTGCTAAAGAATATATATCATATACATGTAAAGATAATATTACGTAGTACCCCACATATCATAATCTATATATATATTAAATATTATAAATAATAACAACCATTTTGATGCGTGTATTTATCCCAACATTTGAGAATTGTCTACTACTATTAATATGTATTTTAGAGTAAAATCTTAAATTAATTAAATGTCACCTACAAATCACATATATCATAACAACAAATCTACAAAATCAACACTATTTTTAATATTTCCAACTATAATATTAAATTACTTATTTGGGAAAAAGAAAATAAGATGTACAGAACGGATAGGCAATGTACACGTGATACTGATGATGATTTACAAAATGTAATATATATATACGTATGTAGATGTTTCAAAATATCACAAATTAAAAGTTTAAAAATCATAAAAAAATGTATTCAAAATATTATAAAATATAAATAAAGTTGTAAGTCTTTAAAGGGAATGAGTATTAAATTAACCGAACGAGAATAATAAACTTTCAACTAGATAACTTATACCTAAAAGTTTTAGACACTGAGAAATATTTACTGAATAAAGCCTTTTAAGTACTAAATGATTACTTATAAGATGAAGGTGCCCGGCTCTAATTGAGGAGGCACTTTTTTTAACTGACTGTGAAAGAAAAGGGAGTAACGTTTTTGTATGAGTAATTTTTTGGTTTTGAAATTCTTGATACCAGAGGATATCTACTTATTCATAAATGTTTATTGTTATCTAAAAAGGAACTAAAGAATTTTGTTTAAATATATTATTCTATGACCGAATACTTAATTACGCTAACATGGGAAAGGTGTCTAATTTTTTATGTTTTGGAAGTCCTTATATATATATATATATATATATATATATATATATATATATATATATATATATATATATATATATATATATATATATATATATATATATATATATATATATAAAAAAATATTTCAAGGTAATTTCACTGCCATGTTTCAGCTTTTTAAGCAGAATATAGCATGCGAACAGTTGATTTTGCAATATCACTACCTTTTATTAGATACCAGGCATCAGTACAAACTTTATATATCATTCTTTAGATAGCGGCAATTAATAAGAAATTGTTTATTTGGGGACTTCTATCCTACCCGTGTTTCTATGCTTGCATGAGTATGTTTCGGTTTAAGAAATATGACATTACACCTTAGTCCTCTGGAATAGGATAACTCATGAATTGTATCAAGGGCGTCACAGAGTATTCAGGTATTTTCATGCTATTCATGTAAGCCATGGTAACCACTTTTGACCACCAGCTTGTGTATCATTCTAAGTGTATGTTGATAAAAACAATTAAATCTGTTTCTTTTTCACAGGGCCTGGCATAAAAGGCACGATGGCCATCCTGAACTGTCTGCTCGCCCGACAACTGTGCTTCGAAGACGCTTCCTGCTCCGCCATCTTGGAAATTATACCGCGTGTCTGTGGATCTGAACTTGGTAAGTGACAACCCTATTAAGATCTAGACCTTCTTTATTACACTAAAATGTAACAAATTAAAATATAAATACTAACCAATCAATCAAGATTGATCAGATCACGCCTTTTCAATCGTCATCAAAAAGTATGAGGTTCTTAATTCTTCAGTATTATCAACCGACTTCAAAATCGAAGGAAGCTCTTAATTCAATTGCATTTTTTTTATATTTTTCACGTCACAGCTCCATCATTTATTTATTAGAAAGGGTGCGAGTAGATAGATAGATAAATACTCTTTATTGTTTCCTCCAAAAGATTACAATAGTAAACTTATTATAATAATTATAAGAGTATATACTCAGATTTTATCAAAATCAGTTTAGTAATTAGGTTTTAAATATAAACATAACTGATTTTGCTAAAATTAAAGTCGATTTTTTGGTTACCAAAGTCGTGGCAACAAGAAACATGCTCCTTGCGAAACGCATTCAATGCAAAATATACTTACAGGGTAAGTCTCGATAGAATTACCAATATCTTTGGACTAGATAAAATAGTTTGCATTTCTATAATGATTGGCGACTGTTTCTGACAATGTCAATTGCTTTTATATTTATACATTATTTATTGTACAAATTTAATAACTGTAACTGAACTCCATTAGGATAGCTTACGTAATTGCGGTTAAGGGCTCCCAAGATCGAATTCCTGTCCAAACCTCTAAATAATTCAATTTGTCATTGGATTTATTAAATTTGTTCAAATATTCTGTCATGGTGTATTCTGTAATAGGCATGACGCTGATTATATCTATAAATGACATTTTCGTACAAAATCTTCTCATTAAACAATTTATCAGATCACAAAAAACCTATCATCATCGTCACCATATCAACCGTTAACTGTCCACTGCCAAACATAAGCTTCCGGGGGGAAAGGGATTGTTAGCAATGGTGTTTGACAGCCCCATTGCTAGCAATATGCCCTATTAGGTCAACCTCCATAAAACAATACACTTTTAATTCGTCACGATGGGCACAAAAAACATCCTTGTCTATCATCCTTCATCATCACCATTATCTCCCATTAAAAAAAAACATTTATAAAATAAATATTACATAAAACAGCATTAAATTTGCACTCAATAACTGCTCTGCATAACATATATTATATACATTAAAAGAATGACGGCTATAAATTTAAAGTAACAAATTGGCAGCCTTAATGTAACATTGCAAGGATTGTTGGAATATCAAGGTCCTTGCATACATTGTTATATTTTCTGCACATACGGATAATTGTTCAATACATTATTACAAATCGGTATATAAAATAATTTTTGTATTCTTTTATTACCTGTACAAATAAAGATTTTACAATAAAATGCATCTAAACATATTATTAATAAATGTTTATATTAGAATTATATGTTTATATTAGATTGTCTACATTATTATGTTATTAAACATATAATTCTACACAATACATAATTAATTCAGTAAAAAACTATAAATAAATAGTTTTTGAAATATAGTAAATAGATACATAATTTTCATTTTCACATGAATAAATTGCGTCATGCATTTTTTTTTTATACAACTTAGAATGGCAAACAAGCTGACGGCCCACCTGATGGAAAGTGGTAACCGTCGCCTATAGACATGAGCAGTACCATGGACATAACAGAGTATACTGTTTGGCCCATGATACCCCCCATGCGTTGCCATTCCTGAGGACTCAGGTGTTATTCCTCTGTACCCAGTAAATTCACGCCATATCCCACCCTTCAAACCGATTTATTAATGTCTATGGATTAGTAAACGAAGCTGATCTTACTAACTTGGTTTACTTTACTAGGTCTGTCATACAAGGAATTGATTGATTCTTTAACTTATTACACTAAGATCTTGTGATAGATCGTTTCTATAAGTTACAGTATTGTTATCAATTGATAGATTACTTACTAATAGTTTGATGGATCATAACAAGGATGAATACTAACTATTACACTTTCTCGATGCATGTTTTATGTTTTATAAGAAATGGGAATCAACGCGATCATTTCAGTAAATAAGAATTAATACTTGTGTATCTCTAACGCTCTCTCCTGCACTAAAATGTTTTGCTTTCGTACCTAGCAATTTCACTGCTATACTTACCATGCTATTTTACCAGAGGGAGACTTTGTTTGACAAAAGTCGACTGCTTGGGTACTTCTGTCCCATTCGTGTTTCAACCGTGAAGCAATTGTGTTTGCATGGCTGTGTTTCGGTTTGAAGGGTGGGAAATAGCGTGAATTTACTGGGTACACAGGAATAATACCTGAGTCCTCGGGAATGGCAATACATGGGCAAAACAGTATACTCTGTTATGTCAATAGTACTGCTCATGTCTATAAGCGACGGTTACCACTTTCAATCAGGTGGGCCGTCAGCTTGTTTGCCATTCTAAGTTGTATAAAAAAAAACATTATACTTTGCCGTGTGGTCCTGGCATAGAATAGGCCACCCCTTTCTTTCCCGTAAATATCGTAAGAGGCGACTAAGAAAGGGCGAAGGATAGACAGCAGCGTCCCTCTTAAAATATCTCCAAAGCTTAACTGCGATTGCTAAATCGCTTGCTAAGCGAGACGACTACTGGCAAAAACTCGTCAAGGGAGAGGCTTATGTTCAACAGTGGACAGTTTAAGGGTGATATGATGATGATAATGATATATTGCTTATCACCGTACCTCTCGCCATAGAGCTAGAGTTCATTAATTTCTTGAGTACTTGCTGTATGCCAGGTGGTAGTATTACCACTGTCCATGCACCCCATTCATTTCTACCTCGTACATTCAGATTATGAAATGAGCTTTCGTCTCCAGTTTTCCCCTTACAAGGGAATATGGGACCATAAAAATCGTGCCTACAAACATTTAAAAAGCCGGCAACATACAAGTAACTCCTCTCGTGTTGCGGGTGTTTATGAACGACAGTATCTGCTTTCCATCAGGTGAACCGTCTACTCGTTTGTCTCCCTAACAATAAAAAATATATCTTACACTTTAATAAAATTATCAAACCGAAACAGTAATACAAGTACAACGAATTAATGACAGAAACACGAATGAGACAAATGTACCCAAACAACGACTTTTATACAAAATCTCCCTCAACTCTCAAACACGTGAACACAAGAACGTCACGTGAACGCCAAAATGAAGGCTTACTACATCGTCCCCTAAAATTAAACAGTGTTTGCTTCCTAAACAAATCGTTTTGAAAGGAAAATACGGAGGCAAAGCCCGTTCCTTTTGTCAAAGAGCCGCCATTATGCATGAGAGTACATGCGACGAGGCGACCGCGGCGTCCTCCCTGCGATGTCTGGTCGACATACTGTGACACCAGAGCGTAATCTTTATTAATAATCTACATGAGTTTCCAATTCGGATTCGATTTAATCAAAAACTTATCTTTCTTTGAGATTGATAAAAAAATTATAAATGTAAATTAATATTAAGTCTTCTTATATTTTATTATTTGTCATTCTCTATATGGTTTTCATGAAAATACACGTGAAAAATTTGACTAAGTTTTATAAGAACAATATTTAAAAATTAATTTTCTCATGCATCTGTCTGAGATTTCCCGAATCAATTCGATTCGAATGGTCGACATTTATTTTCGACATTGAAAACTCTATCTACGAGAATACGCACCTAAAAATAATGTATGGTATTTTTTTTTATATTACAAATTTTGAAAAATATTTTTCTTCTATCAAAGAGCCGCCATTATGCTTGAGAGTCAAGGAGCCGACCGCGACGCCCTCCCCGTAATGTATGATCGGCGTACTTTCACACCGACGTGTAATTATTATTATTAAAATTAAAATTAGATATTTTAAATGCAAATTTCAAATGTTAATCACGAAAATGAAATCATATCCTTCGTAGCCCGTTTATATTTTCCGAATGTAGACTGTACCTTTTTTGAAATTTATGTGACTTCACTACCATACTATAACCACCCATTAACTTCCTATAGTTGGGCATAGGTCCTATAATACTTGTATTAGCCTACTTTCACTTATTGGCAGGTTTTGTTTCTAATTTTCTCATCTGATACTGATATACATCAGTAGTACATAAGAGGCATCTAATACTGTACTTTGTTCCCTTAGATGCCTCTTATGACATTCAGAGAACGAAAATTAGTAGTGACGTCGTCACACGAAAAATTTCAATGCAAAACCCTAAACCGTAACGTATCATATTCGAACAGATTTACGAACAAAAATTCTCGACATGTTTACTCCATTATAGTATTTCCAAAATTATTTCACCTGTAACATGCAGAAATGGCTTTTACGACTTTGCCAAAGTTTAGCAATAGTAGTTACGAAGAAAAACGGGCAGAACTCTTTGTAGAAGGATCAACGCTTACTAACAGAATAAAACGAGGTGGAATGACGAAATGTTTTTTTACGAAATTCAATTACTCGACTTAAATATTGATAGATTTGATTGACATAGATATTTAGTTATATAAGAAACTCTACTACATTTTTGTACTACAGGAATTCAATAATAATTATATTAATTTCTTGGGAATATACGTCGACCCTTAAAGTTACAGTTGAAGAATTCAGTTCTAATAGATGTAATATATATCAATACATATCAATAGAAGAAAAAAAACTGACCGATTGATCAATAGCTGAAATTGATGCTGCTAAATCAATTATCATTAATTATTACTATACAGAGAACTTCTTTATTTAACTTAAATACAGAGGAATACTCGTAACACCTGAGTCCTCAGTATCTTGGCTGAAACAATATACTCTGTTATCCCCATGGTATTGCTCATTGTTATAGGCGACGGTTACCACTTGCTATTAGGTAGGTTGTCAGCTTGTTTACCATTCTAATGTAGCGTTAGTAACTTTGGTAATATAAATATAATAATAATAATGGTGGCTGTTATCGTACACTACCCTACAATTGTAGTTTTTTATGGTTCCAATAAATACATTT